TGGCATTCTTGGCTTCTCTGATTAGCCAGCATGCTGCGAGTGTTTCTTGGGGGCATGGTGACTATTTTTTACTGGATTCGGTTTCTGGGCTTCAGGCCCTCCTTCTACCGCCAATTATTGACGGTGATTTTCTGACAACTCGTGATTAACTCTCCAAAGACACTCACGATAATCACTCACGGGTTAATCAAAGATTAAAGCAATAAAATAACATAAAGAAGACAAGGATTTATAGTGGTTCGGCAAGATTTCTTGGCCTAGTCCACTTGTGGATGCACTAATATCTCTGAGATTACAAGTTCTTCCTGAGTAATGGAATAGTGCGTCACCCTTCAATGGGATTTTTTGGCTCTATTTATAGGCCTTTACATATGGTGATCTCCTCTGCATTCCCCGAGGAGGCCATCTTCTATCCCTGGATTTTGGGATTGCGTAGGTGCATTTTTATGATGACAATCTCAGAAAATCAGGCTAACCCCTCTTACCAACTACCTGATTTCTTGACTTTGACAGTAGCAGTTGGCACAGTGCATCCTTCCCTGAGTTGACAAGACTGTTGCTGGATTTGACTGGTCCTGCTGCCTCGACGTAATGGCCACCACAAGTCGAGCGAGGTGCTCGATGTCCGTTATCCTACATGGGCTCTCGACGTCTAAAGGGCACCTTAGCTACAGTGGCTCCTTCGACGCCAGCAACTGATTCTCAACGGGGAGGCCCCGGCGCTTGTCGTTCGGGAGAATGATCAATTGCTCGACCATGATGTAACATATACATATATATATATATATATATTTTTGTGTGTGTGTCTAATGTCAATGTGAGTGTGTGTGTGTGTGTATAGTTTCTCCTACTTCCATTCCTTTGCACGAGTAAAAGACCAACATCATTACTGCGGTGGAGATTAATTCATGCCCACCGAAAGAGTTTGTAGTCAGCATAATTTACGTACATGTTATGATGGCGGCTCAAAGGGCCATTTTGTTAGAAAGTGCCATTTTGACGGTACTCACGTCCCATGTGTTCCCCCTCATGAAACTGCTGAACTTTACAGAAATAAGAAGGGGTTCTTTTCATTTAATGTGCTTGCCGTGTGCTATTTTGATATGAAATTTACGTACATGTTATCTGGATGGGAGGGTTCGGCACACGATGCGAGAGTACTCACTTCCGCCTTAGAATCCCCAACCAAAATATTTCCGACACCGCCATCAGGTCCGCCTACAATGATTTTTTATATGTACACTGACATTTCAAATACTTCATCCGTACGCTTATTTGTTAATTAATATACGTATAAGTGTAGGAAAATTTTACCTCGTCGACTCGGGTTGCGCTAACAACGGATGTTTCATGGCACCATATCAGGGGACAACATACCACTTGCAAGAGTATAGGAATCGCCGTGAAAAAGGTTTCCACAGTGAACGTGAGCTTTTCAACTACACCCACTCCTCACTGCGTAATGTCATTGAAAGAACATTTGGTGTGTGGAAGGCTAGATTTCGTATTTTAAAAACCATTAACCGTTACCCCATGACCAAACAAGTTATGATTCTAGTAGCGTGTGCTATAATACATAATTTTATCCATATGTACCGTAATGGAGACAACTTATTAGACCAATACTCACAAGATGACGTTCCGGTTGTAGACATTGATCCACAGAATGTTGATGAGGACATTAACGACAATACTAACTATGAGGGTCAACCATTGGATTCTAATACAGAAGTGGAGATGAATGCTTTAAGGGATGCAAGGGCGCATACAATGTGGGCAGTGTACCGTCACCGTCGTGCGCGCTAATATCCCTCGTTCATAAGACGTTGATATGCGACGATATGATATTATATGGTCTATAAATACTTATGTTATAATTTATGTATTTATTGTTGTCTTTTTGAACTTAATTAAAATGAAAACTAATCTTCTACTATTTATTTTTATTATATTTTATTTTTGTAAGTATGTATTTTTTTTTTAAAATTACCAGATTACCTAATAATAATTTACAAGTAATGCCAATTATTCATATTCAATTACAAAAAATATAATAAATTCAGAAAATAAAAAAATTGAATAAAATTAAAAAAGAAAAAAAATCATATCCACTATTTACAACTCAAGTTTTACTATAAACAAACACAAACTTAAAAAGATTCTTATCTTAAACTATAACTCAAGTATACACAACCAAACGCAAACTTAAGTTACAACTTCAACTTAAGTTATAACTCAAATTCAACTCAAAAACTTAACTCAAGAATACTTGTAAAAGAACAAGCCCTAAAGAAGGTAAGTTAGCAAAAATTAAAGAAGGTTGTTAATGGAAAGTTCGTACCTTAAATTTTTTTCAATTTTCAATTTTGATTATTGTTATTAATAATATCTATTATCAATTAGATTCTATCATTGTTAAGTTTGAGATATTAACGACCGTTTAGTTTATAAGAATAGAAATTCAAATTTCTATAAAAAAAACACTATAATAAAATTAGGGTCAGTAATAGGAGTGTTCAAAAAAATTGAAAAACTACTACTGACTAATATCGAAACGCTAAATGGATTGAAAAAACTAAAAATTCAGTTCCACGTCAGCAAACTGACTAATTCGATCAGTTAACCGACCGTCCATGGTTATGGGCGGTTCGGTTTCGGTTCTGCCAGCCGAGATGATCGGTTAAACCGAACCGACCAACCACCTTCTACTCTATTTAAAAAAAAAGTTATTATCCATAGATTTAAACCTCTAATCTTGTAGATGGTGAATATAAGTCTATAATATTATTAAAGATGGACGTTCAAAAGAAGTTAGATCTCTCTAACTTGTAAATTGTGATGGAGAAACAAAATATATAGCCTTTTATATAGAATAATTGAGGGAAAACATTCTCATCTCTTTTCAATGTGGGACTATTAAAAGTCTGATGTGTTTAAAAATTTAAGCACATCAGACTTTTAAAAGTCACACATTAAAAAGAGATGAGAATGCATTCTCTCAACTATTCTATATAAAGAGCCATGTATTTCATTTCTCTATCACTTACAAGTTAGAGAGGTCTAACTTCTTTTGAATGTCTATCTTCAATAATATGATAGACTTCCATATAAATAATTTTTCTAATTGAGATTAGATGTAAAGCCTTAGTCCTTGAGGGAACATTCTTTTAGGCTTTAGTTTTTTGTCTTTTAAGCCATTTTTTCTTTTTAATTTTAACTATTTAACTATTAAATATGTGAATGGTTAAAATTTAAGAAGAAAATAGTTCACAAAAATTTTTTATGTAAGAAACCGACTGAAAACCGACTGAAAAACTGATAAAAATCAGTCAGTTAACTGATCGAAGACATTGTTCTTCAGTTCGATTTCAGTTTTAAATTTTTAAAATCTGACATTGTCAGTTCGGTTTTGAAACCGACTGAAATTTTCAATTTTTAACCGGTAATATGGGTCACGACAAGACAACACGACTCGAAAACGACATGAATTTCGCGGGTTAGGATTGAGAAAAAAGAGGTTCTGATCAGAATTGGGTCGACCTGAAATTGACATGAAAAATACAAGTCAATTTCGGGTTGGACCCGTCTAATCCGAACACGACACGAAACCTATAAAAAACTAATATATATATTAATTTTTCTTTACATATTTTAGATTTTATTATAAACTTGTGATATCATGATAGTTATACTCAAAATCTTATACTATTATTTGTTTAATTTTGATGGATGTTATTGGGCGTGTTTGAAACTCGTTCCAAAATGATTTTGTTCTTTGCATGAAAATGAAAACGTTTTCAATCTTGTATAGAAATCATTTTTGAAAATGCGTTTGGTAGTTTTATCAAGAGATTGTTTGCAATATAAAAAACCTATTAATGTCTCTCTCTGTGCTCGAGAGAGTAGAAAATAAAAACAAAAAATGAAAAACGACTAAAAGTCATTTTTCATTTCTCTCTCATTTTACACTAAACTAAAAAATCGTTTTCATTTTCGCTTTTTGTCTTTATTGTGCCAAACGCCGTTTTGAAAATGTTTTCATTTTTTTTTTCTCAAAAAACGTGAAAAATAAAAACGGGATCAATTCTAAATATGGCCATTGTATTTTAGTGTGTTATGCATTTTACGTTATTTCTAATATTTAAAAAAAACTAAAGAAAAGCATATGACTTTCGTGTCAATTTTGGGTTTGCGGGTCAATTTCGTGTCATGGGTCATTCGTGTCGTGCCGTGTCAACTCGTAAAGTAGTCGTGTCGCATTCGCGTTGCAGTTTTTAAAAAATTTCGTATCACGGGTCGTGTTCGATTCGACTGTAAATTTAAGAAGAAAAGATCAAAACACGACACGTGACACGAATTGTCACATCTAAACAAAATATTTAAATTATTGTTTAAATCTTTATTTAAACGAGAAAACACGTTACAAATATCAAATTTTTTTAAAAAAATCAATATCTAACTTGCAAAATGCAAATGCAAAAAACTAAAAAATACACATTGCACGGTGTAATTTACCATTTGTTATGAATAACAATATTAGAACATTAACTCTAATATCAAATTATGTATTATGAGGTGTTATAATTTCATTGTTAGGTGCAACTCATTTTTTTTTAAGGAGCAACTCATTATTGATTAATGTGGTAATTTTTTAAACATTGATTAATAAAATAATGACAGGTCCTTAATTGGCACACAAGTTAAGATTAGAGAGAGAATTTTTTTATTTTCAAAAGTTGTGCAAACAACGGCAGGGCGTGGGGCACTCGCGCTGAGGGAGCGTGGATGCTTTGCTTTAAGCACTAAACGACAGAATTTCCTTAAAATATCCGCCAAACGACGGAAACCCACAGATTGGAAAAAAACTAATCGTGGCGTGTAGGCTAGGAAATTACAATTAAAGCCACGGGACACGTGGCTCATTATAATTGGCAAAAATTTCGGTAGGTTCTTTGATTAAGTCGGCAATTATTTCTATAAAATGACGCTTCCGAGGCCAATCTTTTCCGTGTTCTATCCAACAATTTCTCTTCTCATCGCTTTTTCTCTCTCTCTCGTTGTCATTGCTCTTTCTCTCCCGTCGGATTCGTAGCATATTCTCAAGGTAATTTGGTTTTCATTTCTCGCGTTTTCTTCAATTTCGTTTCTGTTTGTGCTTTTGATTTTGATTTTGATTCTGTGATTTTGAATTTTGCGATCTCTAGTTTGGAATAGGGTTAGGGTTACGGTTTCGATTTGTGATTTGATCTTGTGCGGTTAGAAAAGTTTTGCTCTCTGATGTTTGTCAACGATCTTAGATTGTTTCAGGAATTTTGTTCCCCAGATTTATCCCTTCCAATCACAGATCTAGAAAATTTTAGATCTGAATTATTGTAGATGGTTTTTAGTTTCCGAATCGATTAGAATTCCTTCTAGTAAACTCTGATAAAGAATTAAGACTTTGGATTAGGGTTAGGGTTACGGTTTTGATTTGTGATTTGATCTTGTGCGGTTAGAAAAGTTTTGCTCTCTGATGTTTGTCAACGATCTTAGATTGATTCAGGAATTTTGTTTCCCAGATTTATCCCTTCCAATCACAGATCTAGAAAATTTTAGATCTGAATATTGTAGATGGTTTTTAGTTTCCGAATCGATTAGAATTCCTTCTAATAAACTCTGATAAAGAATTAAGAGTTTGGATTAGGGTTAGGGTTACGGTTTCGATTTGTGATTTGATCTTGTGCGGTTAGAAAAGTTTTGCTCTCTGATGTTTGTCAACGATCTTTAGATTGATTAAGGAATTTTGTACCCCGATTTATCCCTTCCAATCACCAGATCTAGAAAATTTTAGTTTTAATTATTGTAGATGTTTTTAGTTTCCGAATCGATTAGAATTCCTTCTAATAAACTCTGATAAAGAATTAAGAGTTTGGATTAGGGTTAGGGTTACGGTTTCGATTTGTGATTTGATCTTGTGCGGTTAGAAAAGTTTTGCTCTCTGATGTTTGTCAACGATCTTTAGATTGATTAAGGAATTTTGTACCCCAGATTTATCCCTTCCAATCACAGATCTAGAAAATTTTAGATTTGAATATTGTAGATGGTTTTTAGTTTCCGAATCGATTAGAATTCCTTCTAATGAACTCTGATAAAGAATTAAGCTTTGGTAATTTGATTTATGTTTCTCTGTTTTGTCATCCGTCTAATTACCTAAAATCTCTCTGTTTTTTTCGTAATGTTTAGGCTTTATTTTATTTTTCTGTGATTCGGAAAGAATTAAGAGTTTGGATTAGGGTTAGGGTTACGGTTTCGATTTGTGATTTGATCTTGTGCGGTTAGAAAAGTTTTGCTCTCTGATGTTTGTCAACGATCTTTAGATTGATTAAGGAATTTTGTACCCCAGATTTATCCCTTCCAATCACAGATCTAGAAAATTTTAGATTTGAATATTGTAGATGGTTTTTAGTTTCCGAATCGATTAGAATTCCTTCTAATGAACTCTGATAAAGAATTAAGCTTTGGTAATTTGATTTATGTTTCTCTGTTTTGTCATCCGTCTAATTACCTAAAATCTCTCTGTTTTTTTCGTAATGTTTAGGCTTTATTTTATTTTTCTGTGATTCGGAAATTTTATTCCCAAGATTTATCCCTTCAAACACGATCTAGAATTTCTTGGAATCTGAGCCAAACTTATTGTTGATTTATTTTTAAGAAGTATATATTATAGAATTTTAGATCCTAGTTCGAATGATGGTTTCTTTGGAAGTTTTTGAATCGGATTGGATTTTTGATTGATATAAATATAAATACCGCTGAAAGAATCAAAGCTTTGTTAATCCGATTGCGTGTAGGTATATTTCTCTGTAAAATTATCTGAAATCTGTTTGTGGGACAGATGCAGATCTTTGTGAAAACTCTCACTGGCAAGACCATCACCCTCGAGGTGGAAAGCTCTGACACCATCGATAATGTCAAAGCTAAGATTCAAGACAAGGAGGGTATCCCACCGGACCAGCAGAGGCTGATCTTCGCCGGCAAGCAGCTCGAGGACGGCCGAACCCTTGCCGATTACAACATTCAAAAGGAGTCCACCCTCCATTTGGTGCTCCGCCTCCGTGGTGGTATGCAGATCTTCGTCAAGACCCTCACTGGGAAAACCATTACCCTTGAGGTTGAGAGCTCTGACACCATTGATAACGTAAAGGCCAAGATTCAAGATAAGGAGGGCATCCCCCCAGACCAGCAGAGGCTGATCTTCGCTGGCAAACAGCTTGAAGACGGTCGAACCCTTGCCGATTACAACATTCAGAAGGAATCTACCCTTCATTTGGTGCTCCGTCTCCGTGGTGGAATGCAAATCTTTGTTAAGACCCTCACCGGAAAAACCATCACCTTGGAGGTTGAAAGTTCCGACACCATTGATAATGTGAAAGCCAAGATTCAGGACAAGGAGGGAATTCCCCCAGACCAGCAGAGGTTGATCTTTGCCGGCAAACAGCTCGAGGATGGACGTACCCTGGCCGACTACAACATCCAGAAGGAGTCAACCCTCCACTTGGTTTTGCGTCTCCGTGGTGGGATGCAGATTTTTGTTAAGACCCTCACTGGCAAGACCATCACATTGGAGGTTGAAAGCTCAGACACCATTGACAATGTCAAGGCCAAGATTCAAGACAAGGAGGGCATTCCCCCAGATCAGCAGAGGTTGATCTTTGCCGGCAAACAGCTCGAAGATGGGCGTACCCTGGCCGACTACAACATCCAGAAGGAGTCGACCCTTCACTTGGTTTTGCGTCTACGTGGTGGGATGCAAATTTTTGTGAAGACACTCACTGGCAAGACCATTACCTTGGAGGTAGAAAGCTCGGACACAATCGACAATGTTAAGGCCAAAATTCAGGACAAGGAGGGCATTCCCCCGGACCAGCAGAGGTTGATCTTTGCGGGTAAGCAGCTCGAGGACGGCAGGACCCTTGCGGACTACAACATCCAGAAGGAGTCGACACTTCACTTGGTGCTGCGTCTGCGTGGTGGTATGCAGATTTTTGTGAAGACCCTTACCGGGAAGACGATCACCTTGGAGGTCGAGAGCTCGGACACCATTGACAATGTGAAGGCAAAGATCCAGGACAAGGAGGGCATTCCCCCCGACCAGCAGAGGCTGATCTTTGCCGGTAAGCAGCTCGAGGACGGGAGGACCCTGGCGGACTACAACATCCAGAAGGAGTCTACCCTCCACCTTGTCCTCCGTCTCCGTGGTGGATTCTAAGTCGCATGCTTTGTTGCTCTATCGTTTTTATGTGGTTCCAGTTGGGTCTGTCGGCCTTTAGTGGGGCCTTTCAATAAGTTTCCAAACTCTGTTTCGTACTATTATGTTTTCTGGTTTTTTCACTTTCGAGTGGCCGATGGGTCACAAAGACTGCCTTTTATAACATGTAATTAAATATCGTCTAATCTCTGTTTTCTGTTTATTTCTTCCTTCCTATTTTATTGTCTTCAAATTGCCTTGGGTGTGTGGTTATTGGCTATTATAGTTTCAGGTGATTGCATTAGTCTTTCTGATTTGCATTTTCTTTTTGCATTCTCATATAGTAGTTACTTGAGTCTAGCGTTTGGAGAGGCTTTAGAAGGTGTTCTCGAGTGATTTGAATTGAGTTATTGCATGTTGTGTCGACAGTTATGAAAATTTAGATGCTTGGGATTATCCAAATGTTTTCTGGCAGAAACTAATTATCAACATACGAAAAGCAAAATTTATTTTTAGCAAAAATTCACTTGCAGAGGTTTTTGTTGGGTATTTATTCATCGTTATGGACGGCTTTTCAAAAAATAATCTTTGGTATGTTTTTAATTGGTTATATCACTGCGAAGGCGCAATTGCTGAAATCATTTTCAAGATGTAAAACTCAATTCCTTGGAACTTCCATTTTTAGTGAGTCCATTTATCTGACCTGATTTTCTTCTAAATTTTTAACGTTTGTTCACATAACTATAGTTTGTCGATCATATTGGTTTTTAAGAGGGGGGAAGTTTGGGAGCAGGTTATTCATGCTGAAAGTGCTGTTGAATTCTCATGACCATCTAATAATACCTAATATGCAATATAAACGCCGTTTATATAGACATTTGGATTGTGTCATTGAAAAGTTCTCTTCCTGAAATTAATTTCTCCTGCAATTAAATTTCTACTTAATACTTCATTCAAAGAAAAACACGGCTAAAGGAACCAACTCCTCGTTACCACATTTTCCATTTTAAACACATCCATCTAAGCAAGGATTATGAACTTTGCCAGAGCAGTTACGGTGGTGGTTTTGTGAGTATCTTGTGTGTTGGAAGTCTTCTTAAGCTCAAGTCTTCTTAAGCTTGATTAAAAATAAAAAATACTCCTCTAAAATTCCTCTAAGTTTGGGTTCGTTTTGTTTCACGCGTTTTTAACTCATAATTCTGATTTTGTTATTAATGACCGTGTTTGAAGTTGTTTTTGTTTTTGTTTTTTTTACAGAAAAAATGAAAACGGGAAAGAAACCGCGTTTGGCACAATTAAAGACAAAAATCAGAAATGAAAACGATTTTTTAGTTTAGTGTAAAAAAGGAGAGAAATGAAAAATGACTTTTAGTCATTTTTTATTTTTTGTTTCCTTTTTCTCCTCTCTCGAGTGGAGAAAAAGAGAGGGAGACATTAATAAATTTTTTTATACTGAAAACAATATTTTGATAAAATTACCAAACGCATTTTCAAAAATGATTTTTGTCTGAGATTAAAAACGTTTTCATTTTCATTTTCATACAAAAAATAAAATCATTTTGGAACGAATTCTAAACGCACCCAATACTTTTCTCTCATAAAAAATTTTAATAAAAGAAATCCCCGTCAATGAGTTTTATGATAAAATTTAAGGAGACGTTTGGTTCATGGATTAGAACCATGTGATTAGAATAATTTTTGATTTACGTGTATTTTTTGTGAGAGAAAATACTGTAGTGAACCACGAACCATGATTTGAATCAGGGAACGAATCCTCCAACCAAACAACTTCTAAATTTAGAATTAAAATTATTGAGTTAAATGCGTGAACTAAACATCTTTAAAGCAAATAAATGTTCTGTTTGTTTGATGCGCTATGATAATTTAAATTTTGAATCAAAATTATTGACTTAATGAACTAAACATCTCAAAGCAAAGAAATGCTCTGTTTGTTGGATGCGCTCTACGTGGCAACTACTGCAGTATTGGCTTCATTGATGTTGCCAAGTAGCTTTCTCGCTTGCAGATGCTTTTAATTGGAAACTGATTTTGGTTTTGATTAATCAGTTACGTGTATGTCTTTGTGTGTATTCATTCAACTGCTTCGTTCGTCTTCAGTAATATATACTTCAAACTTGTAATTTTATATACTACAAAGAACTTTTCTTCCCAAAAATTGAAAATAAAAGGAAAAAAAAAATTATTTTTAGGATGAGTATTTTGAGAAGCACGTGAGAGTTAGCTAGCTAGTTGAGATGTAGCCTGGATTTTACTTTGCTGTCAAAAGTAAGCGGACATATGTTTTAATTTTGTTCAGTTTTGTTCTTAAATAAATATTATTTTGGAAAGTTTTCCATATGGCCACTCATAATAGTGGCTAGAATGGTGTGTCCACATAGTACTCCTGATCACACTTATCATTTTGAAATAAGCAAAACTTACCAAAGCACAATTAAAGCATTAATCATCCATCTTGCAGTAGCTACTTAGTACTCACCTACTCTTCAGGTTCTGTGATCGGGCAATTTGTTTTTTCCAGAAAAAGTATGAAATATAAACTGAGAAAAGTATGTTAAATTTACAAGATACACTATAATATCACGAGTTTGAAAAGTGGGCTCCAAAAGTGGGCTCAGAGGATATCTGGGTATGAAAAAAATCACAAGTTTGAGAATGTCTGCAAATAACATCACAAGTTTGTCACTGATACTAGTTGGACTGCAATATCACTAGTTTGAAAATGTCAGCATATACTGTAGGTTATTGTCACGCCCCTAAACCGGGGTTGGTGACGTGGATGCTCGTTTAGAAACTTAAACCTGTTTGAGAGAGAGTGATTAGCAAAATAATTTAATTCCTTTCAAATCTAAAACATTCAGGTATTTCCAAACGAGCCCCTGCATTCAAGAGAAATTTAATTTCAAGAACGGTGGTGGAATTTCCAACCAAACCAGTTTTAAAACCACATCACTGGTATCATGTCAGGAATTCCCACAGGGGTTTAGCATACATGAATATAAACATAAGTAAATGTGACATCAACCACAATCTAGCAACATTTAAGTTTACAAACCATAATCTCTTATACATGCCTTGAAATAAAAGATAGAAGGGTTACAACTCTTTGCTTCCCGAGATCAAGTCCACACCACCGGTAATAGCTACCTATTCCGCACCACTCCTCGCGTCGCCTGGAGGGGTTTAATACATTTAAAAACAGAAAAAGGTGAGCGAAAGGCCCAGTAGGATATAGATTTTATAAAGCATTTAAAATAAAGGTACTCACGGTCCGAAGATATACATCCAGAACCGATCATCCCTTTTTAGAAAAGGAAATACTCACAATAGAAATATCTGTATAATGAAAGTGTGCAGCTCATCATACCACTAAACAAGAAGCGGTAAAAATGTCTGTCTAGGAAAAGTGCAGAGCCATCATTCCACTAAACAAGAAGCGGATCCGTACGGATTTCGGGACCTGCCCCCCAAGGATGCGATTCCCACATCCCGATCTCTAAGGCCACCATGCATTGTATCATTTCTTAAAATATTTCATTTTAAGAATTGATAC